TTGATACCCATCCTTCTGACCCCTTCTTCTGAAAGTAGAAAGCGGGGGTGCGGGGGGAGAGGGGGAGGAGTTGGTAAAATATACTTCTTGGGTTCACCAGCTTTCACAATGGAGCCTGCTCTGGGTACAGGCCATGACTTTCATTGGTATCTTCACTCTAGGGAACCTGGATACCATAAGTGGGGGGAAATTAGCTTCCAGTTCTGCTGGGAATGACATATTGACAAAGTACTTAGGCCAAGTTATGTATGACAGCATTCAGCAGTACACACAGTTGTTGTATTCTCTAACCCCACAAGAATGCATGAGGGGATGGATTTACTTCACATGCATCTCTCAATCAGAGCACTGAAGAAAAGCAGGTATCAGATGTCTCAGAGGAAGACTACTGGGCCACACTGTCAAAAACAGAGGCAGAATTCAGAGCAATTACACTTCTGGTACAACGACCAGCATCACCCAGTCGCTGCCAAGTAAGGAGATTTGGCAGCTTAATAGGGCTGCTTTCATTTTACATTTCCACTCCAATTAGTTGACAATACAAGGCAACTGGCAGAATAAATCAAAACCTAAAGAAAGTTGAGAGACTTGTATGTGGTTTGGAGAGCTATGCATTAATGGAACAATAAAGAGATGAAAAGAATTCTACGAAATATAAATGACCCCTAGTACAATTCAGGTTGGTGGGGGTTTTTAAACCAACTCTATGAAAGAAATGTTACTACTGCGGATCATACGTTCAAAACCAGCCTGTGTGCATGAAAAAGCAGGATCTGCTAAGTGAGGTTTGCCACTATTTTGAAGCATCACACATATGATATCAGAATGGCCTGAATGAGCTTTATTGCAGCACACTTGTGAGCAGATGGATTTGTGCATGTCTTAGTCAAATTGAAATCTCTGGCAAAACTCCCAGGGTACATTCATGCAGCATTTTGGAACAAGCCTCCCAGGATGAGTCGATAGACTCGGGACAGCAGGATTAGTGCTAGGGCTCTAAACCAGAAGTGGAAAACTCCGGCCCTCCAGATGTTTTAATCCAGCCCTTGGGCTCCTGCTGGGAAGCGGGGTCTGGGGCTTGCCCTGCTCCGGCGCTCCAGCCAGGGAGCGGGGTTGGGGTCTTGCACGTCCCCCCTCCAGCTCCTACACATAGGAGCAGCCATGGGGCTCCGCACGCTGATCCCACCCCAAGCACCGCCCCTGCAGCTCCCATTGGCCGGGAACCGCAGCCAATGGGAGCTGCAGGGGCGGTACCTTTGGACAGGACAGCACACAGAGCCACCTGGCCGTGCCGCCATGTAGGAGGCAGAGGTGGGACATGCTGCTGCTTTCAGTATCATTAGCCCTACTTTACAGATAGGGAAACTGAGCACAGAAAAGTGAAGTGACTTAACCAAGGTCACCCAGTAGGTCAGTGGCAGAACCAGGAACAGAACCCAGGTCTCCTGAGTCCCAGTCCTGAATCCCTATGGGCTATCAGTAAAATTTTGAAAACTGTAATCCCACAGACTTCCTCTAAGAATTAGGTACATAAGTCACTTAGGCACTTTTGTAACTTTTTATCCTATATCTCATATAGGCACACAAAGTGAGGTCTGCAAAGCCCCCTAGGGGATTTACATGTGCAATTTCTACTAACTGGGTGTCCAAATCCCTTGGAAGGATTTGAAAATTTCAGCCAAAAAGTACATGAGTGTTTTCAGTCTGAATACCAGCTGAGGCTGCACGGGCAAACACCACAAGCTCAGAAAACCGCACGTGTGTGTGTGTGTGTGTGTGCATATGCTTGTGTGTGGCACGATTAGATGGCTGAAATGGTATCCAAGACCTTCCCTTTCCTTTTCAGAGTGTCTACCATATTTTGCATTTGATCTCTCCTGCGATGAGTAAGGCTACGATTCTGTCATGGATATTTTTAGTAAAAGTCAGGGACAGGTCATGGGCAATAAACAAAAAAAAATCATGGAAGCCTTGACTTGTCCCTGACTTTTACTAAAAATATCCCTGAAGAAATGAGAAGGGAGGCAGTTCGAGCATCCTGCCCTTCGCCGCAGGGACCCCATTGCCCAGTGGCTGGGAGGGGTCCCCCCCCACCGCGCTGCAGGGGGCTCCACACCCGCCCGCGGCCACTGAGCAGCTCCAGGTCCCTCTGCTGCCAAAGGCAGCTGCGAACTGCAGGGGAGCGGGCCACCGCTGCTCACGGCAGCTGAGCCGCTCCAGTGGGGACCCTGACAGTGGCGGCGGCTGGGCAATTCAGGGGTTGGGTTGCTGCAGGGTCCCCCGCTGCCAGCAGCGGCTGATCAACTGCAGGGCCCCCAATATCATGGAGGTCACTGGAAGTCATGGATTCCGTGGACTTCTGCAACCTCTGTGTCATAATCTTAGCCTTAACAATGAGTAATCATTTTACGCTGCTTTATTACTGTATTGTAAAATCAGGAACTTAACTTGGTTATACAACCTCAACCAAGGGAAGAAGGCAGAGAAGGGGCAGCCTTTAAGGTTCACCTCTCCTAATTTAGGTGGCAGGGTCTGGTTGCATAAACCAGTGGCATTTCCTCTCTCCCCCGTGCAGACAATGCAGAGGAAGAGGATCATTGCTAATTCCCTAAGGGTATGTCTACACTACGGAATAAGGTCGAATTTATAGAAGTCGGTTTTTTAGAAATCGGTTTTATATATTCGAGTGTGTGTGTCCCCACAGAAAATGCTCCAAGTGCATTAAGTGCATTAACTCGGCGGAGTGCTTCCACAGTACCGAGGCAAGCGTCGACTTCCGGAGCGTTGCACTGTGGGTAGCTATCCCACAGTTCCCGCAGTCTCCGCTGCCCATTGGAATTCTGGGTTGAGATCCCAATGCCTGATGGGGCTAAAACATTGTCGCGGGTGGTTCTGGGTACATATCGTCAGGCCCCCCTTCCCTCCCTTCCTCCGTGAAAGCAAGGGCAGACAATCGTTTCGCGCCTTTTTTCCTGAGTTACCTGTGCAGACGCCATACCACGGCAAACATGGAGCCCGCTCAGGTAACCGTCACCCTATGTCTCCTGGGTGCTGGCAGATGCGGTACGGCATTGCTACACAGTAGCAGCAACCCCTTGCCTTGTGGCAGCAGACGGTACAATATGACTGGTAGCCGTCATCGTCATGTCCGAGGTGCTCCTGGCCACGTCGGCTGGGAGCGCCTGGGCAGACATGGGCGCAGGGACTAAATTTGGAGTGACTTGACCAGGTCATTCTCTTTAGTCCTGCAGTCAGTCCTATTGAACCGTCTTATGGTGAGCAGGCAGGCGATACGGATTGCTAGCAGTCGTACTGTACCATCTTCTGCCGAGCAGCCATGAGATGTGGATGGCATGCAGTCCTTCTGCACCGTCTCCTGCCAGCCAAAGATGTAAAAGATAGATGGAGTGGATCAAAACAAGAAATAGACCAGATTTGTTTTGTATTCATTTGCTTCCTCCCCTCCCCCGTCTAGGGGACTCATTCCTCTAGGTCACACTGCAGTCACTCACAGAGAAGGTGCAGCGAGGTAAATCTAGCCATGTATCAATCAGAGGCCAAGCTAACCTCCTTGTTCCAATAAGAACAATAACTTAGGTGCACCATTTCTTATTGGAACCCTCCGTGAAGTCCTGCCTGAAATACTCCTTTATGTAAAGCCACCCCCTTTGTTGATTTTAGCTCCCTGAAGCCAACCCTGTAAGCCGTGTCCTCAGTCGCCCCTCCCGGCGTCAGAGCAACGGCAAACAATCGTGCATCTGAGAGTGCTGTCCAGAGCAGTCACAATGGAGCACTCTGATGGGGCTAAAACATTGTCGCGGGTGGTTCTGGGTACATATTGTCAAGCCCCTGTTCCCTCCCTCCCTCCGTGAAAGCAAGGGCAGACAATCGTTTCGCGCCTTTTTTCCTGAGTTACCTGTGCAGACGCCATACCACGGCAAGCATGGAGCCCACTCAGGTAACCGTCACCCTATGTCTCCTGGGTGCTGGCAGACGCGGTACGGCATTGCTACACAGTAGCAGCAACCCATTGCCTTCTGGCAGCAGACGGTGCAGTACGACTGGTAGCCGTCCTCGTCGTGTCTGAGGTGCTCCTGGCCACGTCGGCTGGGAGCGCGTGGGCAGACATGGGCACAGAGACTAAATTTGGAGTGACTTGACCAGGTCATTCTCTTTAGTCCTGCAGTCAGTCCTATTGAACCGTCTTATGGTGAGCAGGCAGGCGATACGGATTGCTAGCAGTCGTACTGTACCATCTTCTGCCGGGCAGGCAAGAGATGAGGATTGCTAGCAGTCGTATTGTACATCTTCTGCCGGGCAGGCAAGAGATGAGGATGGCTAGCAGTCGTACTGTACCATCTTCTGCCGAGCAGCCATGAGATGTGGATGGCATGCAGTCCTTCTGCACCATCTGCTGCCAGCCAAAGATGTAAAAGATAGATGGAGTGGATCAAAACAAGAAATAGACCAGATTTGTTTTGTACTCATTTGCCTCCTCCCCTGTCTAGGGGACTCATTCCTCTAGGTCACACTGGCGCAGTTTACTGACTCGCTTAGACCTCAGCGAAACCAATATTCCCACTGTTATTACTGCTTGCTGTGTGCTCCACAATATCTGTGAGAGTAAGGGGGAAACGTTTATGGCGGGGTGGGAGGTTGAGGCAAATCGCCTGGCTGCTGGTTACACGCAGCCAGACACCAGGGCGGTTAGAAGAGCACAGGAGGGTGCGGTACACATCAGAGAAGCTTTGAAAACCAGTTTCATGACTGGCCAGGCTACGGTGTGAAAGTTCTGTTTGTTTGTCCTTGATGAAACCCCCTGCCCCTTGGTTCATTCTACTTCCCTGTAAGCTAACCACCCTCCCCTCCTCCCTTCAATCACGGCTTGCAGAGGCAATAAAGTCATTGTTGCTTCACATTCATGCATTCTTTATTCATTCATCACACAAATAGGGAGATGACTACCAAGGTAGCCCAGGAGGGGTGGTGGAGGAGGGAAGGAAAATGCCACACAGCACTTTAAAAGTTTACAACTTTAAAATTTATTGAATGACAGCCTTCTTTTTTTTGGGCAATCCTCTGTGGTGGAGTGGCTGGTTGGCCGGAGGCCCCCCACCGCATTCTTGGGCGTCTGGGTGTGGAGGCTATGGAACTTGGGGAGGAGGGCGGTTGGTTACACGGGGGCTGTAGTGGCAGTCTGTGCTCCAGCTGCCTTTGCTGCAGCTCAACCATACACTGGAGCATACTGGTTTGGTCCTCCAGCAGCCTCAGCATTGAATCCTGCCTCCTCATCACGCTGCCGCCACATTTGAGCTTCAGCCCTGTCTTCAGCCTGCCACTTACACTCTTCAGTCCGCCACTTACTCTCTTCAGCCCGCCACCTCTCCTCCCGGTCATTTTGTGCTTTCCTGCACTCTGACATTATTTGCCTCCACGCATTCGTCTGTGCTCTGTCAGTGTGGGAAGACAGCATGAGCTCGGAGAACATTTCATCGCGAGTGCGTTTTTTTTTCTTTCTAAGCTTCACTAGCCTCTGGGAAGGAGAAGATCCTGTGATCATTGAAACACATGCAGCTGGTGGAGAAAAAAAAGGGACAGCGGTATTTAAAGACACATTTTATAAAACAGTGGCTACACTCTTTCAGGGTAAACCTTGCTGTTAACATTACATACATAGCACATGTGCTTTCGTTACAAGGTCGCATTTTGCCTCCCCCCACCGCGTGGCTACCCCCTCAACCTTCCCCCCTCCCTGTGGCTAACAGCGGGGAACATTTCTGTTTAGCCACAGGCAAACAGCCCAGCAGGAATGGGCTCCTCTGAGTGTCCCCTGAAGAAAAGCACCCTATTTCAACTAGGTGACCGTGAATTATATCTCACTCTCCTGAGGATAACACAGAGAGATAAAGAACGGATGTTGTTTGAACGCCAGCAAACATACACTGCAATGCTTTGTTGTACAATGATTCCCGAGTACGTGTTACTGGCCTGGAGTGGTAAAGTGTCCTACCATGAAGGACGCAATAAGGCTGCCCTCCCCAGAAACCTTTTGCAAAGGCTTTGGGAGTACATCCAGGAGAACCGCGAATGCCAGGGCAAAGTAATCCTTTCACATGCTTGCTTTTAAACCATGTATAGTATTTTAAAAGGTACACTCACCGGAGGTCCCTTCTCTGCCTGCTGGGTCCAGGAGGCAGCCTTGGGTGGGTTCGGGGGGTACTGGCTCCAGGTCCAGGGTGAGAAACAGTTCCTGGCTGTCGGGAAAACCGGTTTCTCCGCTTGCTTGCTGTGAGCTATCTACAACCTCATCATCATCATCATCTTCTTCGTCCCCAAAACCTGCTTCCGTATTGCCTCCATCTCCATTGAAGGAGTCAAACAACACAGCTGGGGTAGTGGTGGCTGAACCCCCTAAAATGGCATGCAGCTCATCATAGAAGCGGCACGTTTGGGGCTCTGACCCGGAGTGGCCGTTCGCCTCTCTGGTTTTCTGGTAGGCTTGCCTCAGCTCCTTCAGTTTCACGCGGCACTGCTTCGGGTCCCTGTTATGGCCTCTGTCCTTCATGCCCTGGGAGATTTTCACAAAGGTTTTGGCATTTCGAAAACTGGAATGGAGTTCTGATAGCACGGATTCCTCTCCCCAAACAGCGATCAGATCCCGTACCTCCCGTTCGGTCCATGCTGGAGCTCTTTTGCGATTCTGGGACTCCATCATGGTCACCTCTGCTGATGAGCTCTGCATGGTCACCTGCAGCTTGCCACGCTGCCCAAACAAGAAACGAGATTCAAAAGTTCGCGGTTCTTTTCCTGTCTACCTGGCCAGTGCATCTGAGTTGAGAGTGCTGTCCAGAGCGGTCACAATGGAGCACTCTGGGATAGCTCCCGGAGGCCAATACCATCGAATTGTGTCCACAGTACCCCAAATTCAAGCCGGCAAGGCCGATTTAAGCACTAATCCACTTGTCAGGGGTGGAGTAAGGAAATCGATTTAAAGAGCCCTTTAAGTCAAAATAAAGGGCTTCATCGTGTGGACGGGTGCAGGTTTACATCGATTTAATGCTGCTAAATTCGACCTAAAGTCCTAGTGTAGACCAGGGCTAAGAGAGCAGCAAGGTCTGTGTAAATGCCCGAGAGAAGCACTTAAGAGTTGAGACGGTTTCCCAGGCAGACAGGTTACTGAAAGGCCACTGGAGCCCAGAGGTACAAAATATCCATCCTGATGCAAAAGGGGAAACCCTCTTATGTCCAGTTTTATTAATCTAGCAAACCGCTCCTTTGACCTGACTGTTGTGAGAAAGCCGTAGTGCACGGAACAAGAGAGAGAGTGAAACCATTACCTATAAATGGACAATGACACAACGGAGACAATTTGGACTCCGACTTTAAGGCCAGAAGGGCCCCTCAGATCATCGAGTCTGACCTCCTGCGTGTCACAGGCCACAGAACCTCACCCACCCACTCCTGTAATAGACCCATAGCCTCTGGCTGATTTACTGAAGTCCTCAAATGATGGTTTGAAGACTTCAAGTTACAGAGAATCCACATTTACTGTAGTTTAAACCTGCAAGTGACCTGTGCCCCATGCTGCAGAGGAAGGCGAAAACCCCCAGGGTCTCTGCCAATCTGATTGTGACAGGTTCCCCCCGGGGTGCCACCTGGAACTGGGGTACCACTGAGACCGCTAACCCACCAGCCTGGGCTCCCTCTTTCACTGTGCTGCTGTGACAAGCTGCAGACTCGCTCCCGCTCCTACACTTCCACCAGCATTCACACAGGTAGGGACACACCCCGTTGCAGTCACATGCAGGCTCTCTGACTAGCCACTGCACGAACCAACAGTAGAAAGTCTAAAGCCAAGGTAACTCTCAGCTTCGCAGGCACACACCCCCTCTGGAGCATAAACCCAAAATTACACCTTCTTGTGCTGCACAGGGAACTGTAGAGCGTAAACTCATAAAATTCACCCCCTCCCTCAAAATGGAGAGGAATATGCAACAGCCTTTGCCCCTGAGCTATGATTCCCACACACTTCGCTCCTACTCACTGGTTTAGATAAAGCAAAAACAAGTTTAACTACAAAATAATAGTAGTTAAAAATAATCTGTTAACTACAAAAAAACAGTAGTTAACAGATCAAAGCAGATTATGTAGCAAATAAATAAAAGATGTGCTGTGAGGTAACCCTGCTGCCTGAGACAGTGGACCCCAATCTCTGAGCCGCCATGGGCAGCAGGGGTACCCCGCAACTCCCTGGCTGCCGCAGGAGGCAGGACGCACGGAGCTCCCCAGCGCCCCACAGCTGCCCAGCCCCTTCCCATTTTATCATGGATATTTTTAATAAAAGTAAGGGACAGGTCACAGTTTCCATGAATTTTTTTTTATTGCTATGACCTGTCAGTGACTTTTACTAAAAATATCCATAGCTGTACCTCAAAGGCTGGTTGTGGGTGTTTTCCAGAGTAAGCCCATTTGAAATACAGATTCCTAGTCAATATTCATAACTTCAGATACAAAAATGATACATGCATACAAATAGGACAATCATATTCAGCAAATCAGAACTTTTCCAATGGCACTGCACATGTCCCATCTCATACAAAATGTATATTAATTATGCTTTAATTATATCATCATAATATCACTGTGAAGAATATGGGGTGCAGTATCCCACTGACCTTGGGGAAAATTCCTTCCTGACCCCAAATATGGTGATCAGTTAAGACCCTGAGCATGTGGGCATGACCCACCAGCCAGACACCTGGGAAAGAATTCTCTGTAGCGACTCAGAGCCCTCCCCATCTACTGTCCCATCACCGGCCATTTGAGATGTTTGCTGCTAGCAGTCACAGATCGGCTACATGCCATTGTAGGCAGTCTCATCATACCATCCCCTCCATAAACTTATCAAGCTCGGTCTTGAAGCCAGTTAGATTTTTTTTTGCCCCACTGCTCCCCTTGGGAGGCTGTTTCCGAACTTCGCTCCTCTGGTGGTTAAACGCCTTCATCTAATTTCAAGACTAAACTTGTTGATGGTCAGTTTATATCTGTCTGTTCTTGTGTCAACATTGGTACTCAAAAAATAACTCCTCCCACGCTCTGGTGTTTATCTCTCTGGTGTATTTATGCCCAGCAACCAACCATATCTCCCCCTCAGCCTTCATTTGGTTAAGCGAAACAAACCAAGCTCTTTGAGTCTCCTTTCCAAAGGTAGGTCTTCCTTTACTTGGACTACCCTAGTAACCCTCCTCTGCGCCTGTTCCAATTTGATTCATCTTTCCTAAACATGGGAGACCAAAATTGCACACAGTATTCCTGATGAGGTCTCTCTACAGTGCCTTGCATACTCGTACTAACACTTCCCTATCTCTACTGAAAATTCCTCGCCTGATGCATCCTAGAATCACAATAGCCTTTTCACAACCACATCATATTAACTACTCATAGTCTTCCTGTGATCAACCAGTACACCCAGGCCTGTCTCCTCCTCTGTCGCTTCCAACTGATAAATCCCCAGCTTATAGCAGAAATTCTTGTTGCTAATTCTTATGTGCATGACCTTGCATTTGATTCTATTAAATTTCATCCCATTTCTATTACTCCAGTTTTCAAGTATGATATTTCAAGTATTGTATAATATTCCAGTCCTCTTCTGTACTGACAATACCTCCCAACTTCGTGTCATCTGCAAATTTTATTAGCACACTCCCACTTTTTGTGCCCAGCTCATTAATAAAAAATTTACCAATTGATGTGGCAAGTGTTCTGTACAAGCTCTATGAATTGCTATGGCACATGTGCAGAGGACTCAGCTACACATGAACAGCTCAGTAAAATATATCCTTGTATGTCCAAGTGCACTGAGATTGATTCCTTTGTCCAAAAATTGAGCAAAGCTAAATCTGCCAGAACGTTTGCAAGCAAAATTGGATTTCAAAGGTTATGGAATTGCAGACAGCTACTGTACACTGAACCATCACTTGAAAAACCTTTGCAGACTTGAAATTGGCTATAAAGTTGACTTAACCCGGTGCATAAATTAGACTTGAATGACTGGGGAAAGCCTGCAGAGCACATTCTAGAAGAACACATTGGCCTTCTTTGGCATATTAATTCATATTTCAGAAGAAACCATTCAAGTCCCAGTGTGGATATACCAAAGGATGAAACAAAATTCCCAACGGGACAGATAACTTTAAAATAATTCTGTTACACTGTAGAAATGCAGGTACTGGCAGGGCAAAAGCCTGAACGTCTCCTGAATTTAGCCAAGGAAGAATGACCATGATAGGCTAAGCCTTTTATCCCATCTCTAACGAAAAACACCAGGGCATTAAAATCACTGCAGCTGCAGCCAGCTGAGTCATCTCAAATGGAAAATATCCTTCAGTACAAGCCCTTTGCTGTTGCACCTCCAACATACTGTACTGTCTGAAGAGTGACAAAGAAAGCAGGAGATGACAAACAACAGGATTATTTCTGCAGACCACCTTAACCTATATGGAGGGATACATTCAAAGTGCTAAGCAAGGAGTTGTGTCCCCCAAATCTCACTTTCACTAATGGGAATCCAAACACACAGGTCTGGGAAAATACAGCACTTTATATCCATACCTTTAATCTGAGCTCCCTATGCAGCAGAATAAATTGGGTCTCTTGGCTTTTTTTAAAGTAAAAAAAATGCCCTGCAAGAATCTTGCCGAAATGCTTCATTACTGAGTGAAAATGATGAGGAGGCCTGCAGAAAATGGGCTTTCACAGGCCACCTTAGTGCACTCCAGTACTGTTTCCAAAGCCCTCCGATCATCAGTAGCTGCCAGGATTTATCTAGGTTATAATTTTATGGCCAAACAAATTGAAATAAATGACAGCAAAAGGTATGTAACAGTTTAGTATATTACTTGAATACACAGTCAGTGTTGCCATCTACTATGAATGAGTAAATTAATTGGTCCTGGCACCAGCAGACTATTGGCTCCAAAACAAAATTAAGCTTCCAAAAAAAAAAAAAAAAAATCCCTAACTTAGAAAGATGGCTGCCCTTTTTCAGATGGAGAAAGGTGTCCTGGCACTTCCTGATGGTCACAGTGTAACTGATATATACTCCCTGACATGCACACTGGAAAGCCACAAACCTACCGACTTGCATGGTGCCAGGCAATAATGCTAAATGGTATTAAAGAATAACTTAGCAACACTACAGGTTTAAAGACCTCTTCTGAGCTTTTAACTAAGGGTCTTATTTCCCCTGATGAGTCATAGGGACATGTGACGTATACCTCAGGTAGCTGTGGTCACCAGCTGTGCATTGATCCAGATTCCCAGAGGCATCACTGGCCTAAAGCTACCTGAACCCCCACCCCCACATTACATGGCCTGAAGCCTCAGAGGCGCTGCTCCCTGAAAAACGCAGCCTATTCTGTGTCCATTCTTTACCCTTTACCCTACTGGGGCAGTACAGGATCAGGAATTAAGTCCGACAGCTATGGGAAATCCTCGTATGTCTCCAGTGGGGAAGCAGGGATGGGTTCAAGGAGGGTTTTTTGTCTACGTACATAGAAAGGCAGCAGGGCAGGAGATGAATGCCCCCTCACACCCTAAACAATGATCAGTCAGGAGTTTCTGCTCTCACCTGGTAGTGAGAGGAGATGGGAGCTTCTATCAGCCCCCAACTCCTTCAGAGCTGCTGTAATTCCCACCCCTTTCTGATCGTATAACTATATATGTGCCATCCCTCAGTCCCAGCCCAATGGGAGAAGCTACGT